GGGCGTTCTTCCCGCCGTACCCTATCGTGAGCGCTCTCTGGACGACTTCTGCGGTGGTGCTAGGTCTGTCGCCCCTGGCCAGCTCATCTTTCACGGAGGCATTTAGCCCCTCCCAGAACAGATCCCTCACTGCCGCAGAGTCCTTTTGCCAGCCCAGCGCATTTACCAATGCAAAAAATCGGGAGTGGTATTGTCTCACCGTTTGCCTTGCCCTGCCGCAGTTCGTGCATCTCCCTCCTGGCCACGTCTACATCTATGGGTTGATTTAAAAACAAGGTCCATAGCCGCGATAAAAGCTTTTGAATCTTGGAGGGCGGGATCATCTTCGCACCATAAATTGCGCAGCCAGGATTTAGCTTCCCATGCAAGTGAGTTATGATGAATCCCACTTTCTCCTCCTCATCTCTAAAGTCCTTTTGAAGCAATCTTAGCACAAAGACAATGTCTGCTCTGAAGTTGGATACTGTTTCAGGTCCCCATCGAAGTGGGCGACTATACTGCCCCCCCTCTTGCCGAGGCCAACTCCCTCCGATCTGGGTCCCTGCTTGTACAAATGTTCCCACCTGGCTTGTAGATCTTTGCAGCGCGCTTCTGCTTCCTCTTCCCTCTTTCTGGAGGTTTGCTACTTCTGCGTAAAGGTTGTGACTGCCTTTCTGCAGTTCTGCCACTTTCGCCTCAGTAAGTCATGTCTGCCTATCTTCGTGAGCTCACAAAAAAAAATTTTTTTTTGAGATGGAGCTTACTGTCATAGCTGCCTCAGGTCCCAGCTCACAGAGGACCTACGCCAGTATTCTTTATATACAAAAGTCCTTTATTGAAGTTCATTATTGGTTTTACAGCCGCGGCGCGCAGCCCTACGTCTGAAACCCTAGACCGTCGAAGCTCCATCTGAGTCTCCTCCCCCTAGACACCAGTTTTAAGACCCTAGCCTTGCTCCACCTCTTCCTCTGCTCCCTTTTTCCTCTGGGTCCGCCTGCCCGCCGGGGTTTCCCCCTTTCTGGACTCTTCCGACGCTGACTCCCCCGAGTCTTCCCCCTCCCTCCGGTGGGCTTTTAGGACCTGGTTCCCAATCCGGGCTTTCTGCTGTCCCGCGCGCCTGTACATTTGAACTTGGCGCGCGCGCCCAGCCTGCCACCTTCCTTCTGACCGTTATACTGCTCTGTCGCTGCTTGCCGGAGGAGAGGCTGACTCTGACCTATGAGACTCTTCCCCCCCACTACGCTCCAGTGGGGAAGCTGGCCCTGATTTCCAGCTACTGCTCTGGGAGTCTCCGCTGGCCCCCTGCTTCTGGTGTGTCCTCCCTTGGGACCCCCTTGCCCTGGCCATCGGCGCTCCCCTTCTGGGAATCCATCTGATTCACTGGAGAGGCTCATGGAATCTCTCGGGTCACTGTCATTCTGCCCTCCGCTGCCCTCAGATTCTTCCCCTTCGCTCTCCATTTCCTCTCTCCCCTGCGCCTCTGCTCCTGAGCCCCTGACAATATCATTAAAGAATGCAAATCTATTAGCTATTGAAGGATGGGATAATATTAGTGGGTTAGCACAGCTATTTGGGCTACAATAAGTTAGACTACATAAGGATTTCTTAATCATATTATTAGAAAAGCACTTTATAAGTCCTGCGAAAGAAAAAAAAATTGTTGGAGCCTAAACCCCCTTGGTGGCTTTCACCAATGGAAAGCCATAGCAGTTAAAAGGAAAAATACAGAAACTAACTGGCAATCATAGAAAGAATTATTGGAAGAAGAGTACAACCAACTTAAAATTAATATGACATACTTAAACAAATGGGCATAAGTTGGTTACCATACCATCAGCTAAATGAAATTTTTAAGGAAGGGAAAAAATAACGAACGGATTTGATACTAAATTATCAGATTTTGAAAGTGAATTGCTATTAAATAATAAAAATCTCTCAAAAATGTATGTTATTATAAGATTTGATCTAAAAGATGAAGAAGTTAAAGAGCTGATGGTTAAATGGGCCCAAGATTTTGGTTATCCAATAGAATTGGAGAAATGGGAAAACCTTTGGAAAAAAGATATGAAATTCACAGCATGCTAATGATTAAAGAAAATATTATGAAGATGGCTTACAGGTGGTATTCGAGCCCATCAAAATTGGCAAAAAGAGCAAAAAATAATAATAATAGTATTGTTGGCGGTGTTATCATGAAAATGGAAACCTTTTCCACATGTGGTGAACGAGTCCAAAAATAAAATCTTTTGGGTCACAATTTATGAAGAATTGAAGAAAATGTTAAAAATACACATTTCCTAAAAAACCAGAATTATTTTTATTAGGTATCTTTTATAAAAAATATCCCAGGAATTAATTAAAGAGTATTTCTTTATGCAATTATGGCTGCCAGGATTCTGATAGCAAAGTTACTGGAAAAAGTAATGTAATACTGACAAAAGAAGAATGGCACCTAAAGTTATGTGAGTATCTTAAAAAGGTAAAGGTAAAGGTAAAGGTAAAGGTACCCTTGCCCGTACGGGCCAGTCTTGACAGACTCTGGGGTTGTGCGCTCATCTCACTCTATAGGCCGGGAGCCAGTGCTGTCCGGAGACACTTCCGGGTCACGTGGCCAGCGTGACATCGCTGCTCTGGCGAAGCCAGAGCCACACACGGAAACGCCGTTTACCTTCCCGCTAGTAAGCGGTCCCTATTTATCTACTTGCACCCGGGGGTGCTTTCGACTGCTAGGTTGGCAGGCGCTGGGACCGAACGACAGGAGCGCACCCCGCCACAGGGATTCGAACCGCCGACCTTTCGATCGGCAAGTCCTAGGTGCTGAGGCTTTAACCCACAGCGCCACCTGCGTCCCTGTGAGTATCTTAAGTTGGCAAAAACAACAGAAATAATAAGAAATCAATCTGGAGACAAGATCAGAAAAGAATGGGATGTTTTTAAAAATTACATGATGAAATATGGTTCCAACGATCACAATTGGTTGCGCATAGACTAAATTCCACAGAGATAATAGAACGGTTCTCCACTATGTTAAAATGGATGCGGAAATTTTAAGATATAAAAAATTAAGAACCGCATGGAGGCAGAAGGAAGTCATCAAATAAATCACAGGAATGAAACCAGAGATTAGACATAGATAAGAAAGTGAGTGTCGCAAGGAGAAAAATATAAGGTGATGTGAAAAGAATATCATATTGAAATATGTGTTCATAATAATGACGATGACAGTTTGTATTCCTTAAATTACTGTATGTACTTGAAAAGATGATTTGCTGAATGTTCGTTTTTATTCTTTTTCTTTCTATTTTTCCTTCCTTCCTTTTTTTTCTTTTTTATTGTATAATAGATCAATGTGTTTCAGTGTTTTATCTGGACACCTTGTTTCATTCAGCTGGAGGCAGTAAAGAAGTTGACTGGGACTCTGTGGGTCCTTCTAGGTACGGGGGAATTTCAGCTGACCCCTGTCTCTCAAGAGACAAGACCCCCTTCACCCCATAGGGATTGCATCCGGGAAAGTTGGTTTAGATGTATACCATTTTGACAGCTCATTAAAGAGCACCTCCTTATTTTCTTGGCATTCCCAACACCCTTCATGATCATTTGTTTGTAAAAGAAAATTTGTGAGTTGCTGCTGCAGAAATTTGGAGAACTGGATTTAAGATTGAAAAAATGAGAACCTGAGAAAAATGTATTTGACAGATCCTTCTATCCCCCGCCTCCCTCCCTCCCTCCCTCCCTCCCTCCCTCTCTCTCTCTCTCTCCTCTCTCTCTCTCTCACACACACACACACACACACAGAGAGAGAGAGAGAGACACTTTGCAGCCATTCAGCATCATCCTAAGACATGAGTTTGCTGTTAACATGTAGCTTAAGCCCTAATTTTGTTATTGGATTCTGGGGCCAGAAGAAATATGAGGCCAGACAGGTAAAAAGAAATGAATGGATTCCTTTTATTTCTTTTTCATCCAGTAGAGGGAAGTAGTAGCAGATGTAGAAAAGGATCTCAAAATGAGAAAAGGTGGATACAGGGCTTATTCAAATGGTGGAATAAGCAAGCAAAGCAGAGAAGATTTTTGTTGGCTGTGTCGGGATAAATGCTTCCCTCTCTGTGTTGCTGTCCTGGTTGCTCTGTCCACTTGTGCCTGATGGTGGAAGGAAGATGCCAACAGAGTCTACTGGGGGTGATGGGCTTCATTCCTCACGCATTCCCCTGTTTAATGTCATCTGCAGTGGAGGGGAAAGCACAAGAATCTCCTTTGGCCAAGCATTCAACCAGAAATGGCCCAAGATGTTTTAGGGGTCGGAGACAGAACATCCATATGGTGACCAGCCACCCCATAAGCCAGAGAATTTAGAGTTTGTCCCCCTTTCATGTCCTTCTCCCAACTCTATCAGCCCAGGTTGGGGACCCCTCATCCTGCAGAATGGGAGTCCAGTCCTCCATTCCGCCAGCTGTTTTGTTTGATGTAGCTGCCAGTGTTAGAGATTTTGGTGCAAGACCCTAAATCATGTCCTGACTATGGGTCTACACAATGGCATCTGGGTTGGACACAAAAGAAATATGGGTGATGGCCTAGAGAGGCCTTTTGTGGTTTCCTCCTTTTGAAGGAGCGTCTCCACCCCCATCGTTCAGCCCAGACACTGAGATCCAGTGCCGAGGGCCTTCTGGTGGTTCCCTCATTGCAAGAGGTGAGGCTACAGGGAACCAGACAGAGGGCCTTCTCGGTAGTGGCGCCCGCCCTGTGGAACGCCCTCCCGTCAGATGTCAAAGAGATAAAGATTACCTGACATTCAGAAGACATCTTAAGGCAGCCCTGTTCAGGGAAGTTTTTAATATGTAACGCTGTACTGTTTTTAACACTTGATTGGGAGCCGCCCAGAGTGGCTGGGGAAACTCAGCCAGATGGGCGGGGTATAAATAAATAATTAATTTATTATTATTATTATTATTATTATTCTTCAATCTGCTTCACATGTAGGGTTGGTGAGAGGCAATCACTATTCATACTTTACCTGTACTGCAGGGGTGCTGTACTTTGCAATGGCACTGTCACCTGGAAATACAAGGAAAGATGGTCAGGAAGACTCTGGCTCCTCCAACTTCCTGCATCAGTGACCAGATTTTTGGTCTAGTGGATTTTTTCAGTGGGTTGGCTTTAGAACATTTAGAACTATTACTTTTGTATGGCCATGGGGTCACGAAGAGTTGGACACGACTAAACAACAAAAACAACATGGCGGATTTACAGGTTTTTTGGGGGAAGGCAGTTTGAGAGCTAACTAAGAAGCATGAGATGAACCTTAATGACGACTTCCGGTGGAGTGCGAGCCCGACACAAGCGAGGGATCTCTGAGGGAGAGAAACCCTGGCTATTTCGGCCATAAAAGGGGGTTTCAGGGCGAAAAAAATCAATAAAATTATTATTTAAAAAAAGAGAGAGAGATGAACCTTAATGACAATACTGTTGTAGGTTCAGAAGGTCAGCCTGAGTCTTTTCCAAATCTTAGGGTCCTGTACCCAGTGGGAGTTAGACTCTAATAGAGGATTATATTGCTAAACTAGTCAGACAAGTCTGTTTTTAAAACAATGACTTAGCTGGTCACTTAAGTGTCCTCCTCAGCATCCCAAAAGAATGAGGCAGGCTGTGAGAGATACAACTAACTGATCGTACCCTCTGGGTGGACTTCACCTAAGTAAGAGAACAATAGCCAGTGTGGTGTTTGTGAACTGGACTGGAAGCTGGCTGGAAGATGGAGACACAAGAGACATGCTTGCTCTGTGCTGGATCCCAAGCTATGAGTGATGGAGAAGTAATATTTTGTGGGGGTGGGGGGATTAATGTTGTGAGCCCCTCCAGTTTAGGCTTAGGTTGTATATATGTGTGTAGGGAAAACAACATATCCTAAAGAAACCACAGCCTGTGTTGGCCTTCATTGCAAGGTAACTGAACCCTGGAGAAGTGGTTGGAACCCCTGTAATCTCTCACTGCTCAGAGTTTGGGTGGCTTGTAACACTACTATATACTGAGCAGTTCTGTAGTACCAAGAGAGAGAGAAGAGTTTTGGATTTGATATCCCGCCTTTCACTCCCTTTTAAGGAGTCTCAAAGCGGCTAACGTTCTCCTTTCCCTTCCTCCCCACAACAAACACTCTGTGAGGTGAGTGGGGCTGAGAGACTTCAGAGAAGTGTGGACTGGCCCAAGGTCACCCAGCAGCTGCATGTGGAGGAGCGGAGACGCGAACCCGGTTCCCAGATTATGAGACTACCGCTCTTAACCACTACACCACACTGGCTCTCGAGTGTGGCACCAGAGCCCATTCTTACCTGTTTCATAGTAATCGTAGACTTTCACCAGAGCAGGCTTGAGGTGCTGGACAGGGACATCCTGCTCCACCGTGAAGGATAGGCTCTGGGTCACATTGTTCACCTGTGGGCAAGCCGGTTGGATAAGCTGTTATAAGCCATCACACCCAGCAAAGCAAGACCTCGCAAGTTTGTGCCATCAGGCAGGCAGAGGGTTCTAGCTGTTGGCGTTCCCCAAAGGATGCATTCCTTGCTTTCCCATCTCCTCACTCACCTTCTCCAAATACAAAAGGACGTGGTTGGTGCTCACTTCTGTCCGCTTGACCTGTGCTTTACCCATTAGCTGGAGGTGGGGATTGGGGGGTGGGAGAAGAGAGAGATTTATTATTCCCAAGTAATTGTGACAAGCCACCATCCTTGCTTCTGCCTGAAGCCCCAAGGAGTGTAAATATTGTATTCAACATAATGCTAAATCAAGCTCCAGCTCCTCGAAAGATTCCATCCAACAGCGTCTCCAAACAATTTTACACATCACCTGGGAAGACAGTGAACTAATGCCAACATCATCAACATCACCAACAAAATGCAGCACTCAAATCCAAAAAATACAAAGAAATACATAAGTAAAAACAGAGAGGCCATCAATAAAACATTTGATAAATATCAATAAATAACGAAACAGAGCAATGCGATGAATCTTGTGAGCCTGTGAATGCCTGCCTAAATAGATAGGTCTTTAAGGAGGTGTTTACATCACTTGGGAAGACAGGTGAACTAATGCCAGTGTACTGGAAGAAGCAAGATCACCAGTGTCGAAGCAATGATTCTTCAACATCAACTTCGTTGGACTGGTCATGTTGTGCAGATGCCTGATTATCGTCTTCCAAAGCAACTACTCTATTCTGAACTTTAAAATGGAAAGTAATGCTGGTGGTCAACAAAAGAGGTTCAAAGACTCAAGGCGAATCTTAAAAAAGTCATATAAACACCGACAACTGGAAACACTGGCCTGCAAGCGCTCCAGTTGGAGAACAGCCTTTACAAAGGTGTCATAGGTTTTCAAGACGCTCGAAGTCAGGATGAAGGAGAGAAATGTGCTAAGAGGAAGGCATGTCTAGCAAACCCTCACTGTGATCACTTCCTGTCCGGAAACCTATGTCCCCACTGTGGAAGGACGTGCGGATCCAGAATTGGCCTCCACAGTCACTTACGGACTCACTTTTAAAACCGTGTTTATGGAAGACAATCTTACTCGGCTACAAGGGATCACCAAAGAAGAAAGAAATCAGGTGCCTGTCAGTGAAAGGATTACTGTTAGCGCTTCCGGCCAGGACGGCTATGCTTTGTGTCCATGGCTTTGGGAAATAATGCTTCTGAATACCAGTTGCTGGAAGCTACATCAGAGGAGGGTGCTCTTGTGCATGGATCCTGCTTGCAGGTTTCACACAGACATTCAGAATAGATAAAAGGTAAAGGTACCCCTGCCCGTACGGGCCAGTCTTGCCAGACTCTAGAGTTGTGCTCTCATCTCACTCTAGAGGCCGGGAGCCAGCACTGTCCGCAGACACTTCCGGGTCACGTGGCCAGCGTGACAAGCTGCATCTGGCGAGCCAGCGCAGCACACGGAACGCTGTTTACCTTCCCGCTAGTAAGCAGTCCCTATTTATCTACTTGCACCCGGGGGTGCTTTCGAACTGCTAGGTGGGCAGGAGCTGGGACCGAAAGACGGGAGCTCACCCCGCCGCGGGGATTCGAACCGCCGACCATACAATCGGCAAGTCCTAGGCACTGTGGTTTTACCTACAGCGCCACCCGCGTCCCCGCGTCAGAATAGATAGGCCAGTGCAATCTCATCACCACCCCAATGCATAGTCACCTGCCAAAGGGCAGAAGGGGCGAGCAATCCGCCTCATCTCTGAGGTTTCCAGCAAGGGCAGGATCCTGTAGCGTACTTCGGTGACAAAAAAATCAAATAGAGGAACTTAGCTACTGTCTTGGTGAGCTCCTGGTCTCTCCCCTGTAATAAGAAGCGCATAACCTCTGTCTCTGGTTTCCATGTCGGAATACATAGATGGTCTAGAAATTGTTGGCGGAGATCATCATACATTTTACAGTTAAGGGCCATGTGAGCTGGAGTTTCCACCAGGTGGCATTGCATGGGCAGATCCTATCTCCTTCTGTCAAACCCATAAACCTACCCCAAAGGAGGTTAGAAGGATTAGAATTCAACCTAGCCAGCAAAAGGCCCTTCTTTCTTGCGGGTTAAACAAAAATTGTAAATAATTAAGATTAAATTCCCTTCAGGCAACTCCTGTGGCCAAGCTGGTGCCAAACGTATTGCTCTGCTTTCCATTGAACCACATCAGCGAGGCCAAGAGGGGCTCTTGTCTTCTGGGCAGCCCAGGATCTCTATACACACTGCCCAGGCTTCTGCCTCAGGAAGATCACTTTGGTGCTGCTAAGGCAGGAGTCAGCAAACTTACCACGCCTCGGCCGGTGTCTCCAGCGCTGATAGTGCGGCGGGCCAGAGGGCAGGGGAGCACGTGCCCATACGTGTGCACACATGCTATTTCCGGCGCACTTCCGGGTCGGAGGAGCACCGGAAATAGCATGTGCACGGGCCTCCTCCGACCCAGATGTGCACCGCAAATAACGCTTGCGTATGCGCAAATAACGTTTGCGCATGCGCACAAGCTATTTCCGGTGCTCCTCCGACCCAGAAGTGGGCAGCTGCGCAGTGCAGCACTGGTAAGAGCGGGTGGCGGCAGCGGGTGGCGGGGGTCACCGCAGGCCAGATAAACGAGTCCCTTGGGCCTTATCCAGCCTGCGGACCTTAGTTTGGGGACCCCTGTGCTAATGCAACTGTTTGACTTCATCCCCAGAGGTACACTGCATTATCTCTCAAGTCAGACGGGTGCCAACAACAACATAGCCAAGGGAGTTTTGGGGTGGGGGCACTGCCACTCAAATAGCCATTACCTGTCTTACAGTCGATTTTACCGGATGAATCCTGAGAGCATCTTCACATCAATGATCACCATGTTAGAGTTCGGCCGCTTGCCAATGTAACTGAGAGATCAAAGAGGGAAAGGAAAGAATTCTCACACCAGAACTCCAATGCTTGTCATCCCTGACCACCAGACCTCCCACAGCCACCCAATCTGGCTTATAATACTGTCATACCTCATGTTACGTTTGCTTCAGGTTACACGTTTTCAGGTTGCGTCCCACAGCAACCCGGAAGTAATGGAACGGGTTACTTCCGGGTTTCGCTGCTTGCGCATGCACAGATGTGCAAAATGACATCACACACATGCGCAGAAGCGGCGAATCCCGTTCGCAACCAGAGGTACCACTGTACATTCAAAGCAAAGCAACGCGTGGGACCCAAGTGTGTTGCAGCTGGAGACAAAATGTTTGTCCTTGCGGAAGTCACCAATTGTCAGGGAAACCTCCATAATGGGCCTGTTGATTGGATAAAAAAGGAACACCATTTTGTCCTGTGTGTCAGTTTTATGTCAATTGCCTTCTGTACATTTGTGTGTGTGTTTTTAAGGCAGGTTACAAATTCAATGTTTTTTATTATGGTTAAGCATGGATGAATATGTCCATTTTCAGTTTCTTGTTTTCCCTCAATTTAGTTGTCCACATTTCTACATCAGCTTGCAAATTAAAAAAAATAAAATCCTCATGAAAAATTCTACAGTATTCTAGTGTGAATATCTCCCACTAGGCACATTTTATTTATTTATAGGAAGTTGTTTTATACTGAGTTCAGACCATTGGTCCACCTAGCTCAATATTGTCTACACCAAGGGACAGTGTCTCTCCAGGGTTTCAGGTAGGAATCTTTCCTGGCCCCCCTGGCTCTACTTGTCCAGGATAGCTCAGTTGGGTGAAGCATGAGACTCTTAATTTTAAGGTTGTGAGTTCGAGCCCCACGTTGGGCAAAAGATGCCTGCATTTCAGGGAGTTGGACTAGATGATTCTCGTGGTCCCTGAGCAGCCTGCATAGCTCAGTTGGTTACAACATGGTGCCAATAATACTAAGGTTGCAGGTTCGATACCCATATGGGACAGCTGCATATTCCTGCATTGCATTGCAGAGCGTTGGACTCAGGGTCCCTTCCAACTCAAAATTTTATGATTCCAATCTTTCCTAATGCATACTTTTTTTGCAAAACAATTTTTCTTCATATTACAGTCATACGCTGGTTCTCAAATGCCTTGTGACCCGAATGCCACAAACCCGGAAGTGTTCCAGTTTGTGAATGTTTTTTGGAAGCCGAACGTCCAACACAGCTTCCACGGCTTCTGATTTAGTGCAGGAAGCTCCTGCAGCCAATCGGAAGCTGTGCCTTGGTTTTTGAATGTTTTCGGAAGTCGAACAGACTTCCAGAACAGATTCCATTCGAGAACCAAGGTACGACTGTATGTGTTTTTCTTATGTTATTTTCAATGACGTATGCATATATAGGGACGCAGGTGGCGCTGTGGTCTAAACCACAGAGCCTAGGGCTCGCCGATCAGAAGGTTGGCGGTTCGAATCCCCATGATGGCGTGAGCTCCCGTTGCTCAGTCCCTGCTCCTGCCAACTAGCAGTTCAAAAGCACGTCAAAGTGCAAGTAGATAAATAGGTACCGGTCTGGCGGGAAGGTAAACGGCGTTTACGTGCGCTGCTCTGGTTCGCCAGAAGCGGCTTAGTCATGCTGGACACATGACCCGGAAGCTGTCTGTGGACAAACGCCGCCTCCCTCGGCCTATAGAGCGAGATGAGCATCGCAACCCAGAGTCGTCCACGATTGGACCTAATGGTGCATTTATAGCCACATTTTATCCCACGACAGGCAGTTTTGCACACATTACTTGGCTGAAGCACCGGATTACAAAAATTGAAGGATGAATTCCTAAGGATGGTTGTGCTTCGGTTCAAAATTGGCTCAAAA